CGAGTCCAGTGGTCTACGGCTTTTTATTTTAAATCGCTTAAAACGACGTCGTTTCATCTCAATTGAAAACGACGTCGTTTCATCCTAACGGCAATAATTAACAACGTTAATTTTTTCTGTTAAATTTGTTGACGGCGTGCCAAATTGGCAAGTCAACAAAAACTTTGTTAATTAATTCGAAAGTCAATGAAAAGTTTATATTTTTTTTGGTCATGCCAAAAGTTCAGGTTTCTTTTGGCAATTCGTGTAAAGTTCGTGTTTTTTTTGGCCGAATTCTCAATAAGGAAAGGTCAAGTGTTCGTTGCTTGAGTCAGTTACCTTGCCCCCACTAAGCCAATTGGACCACGTGCTTGTCTATCTTATTATATCACTACTACTCCCTTGCTATTACTATAAACGGAAATAGCATATAGAGATTAAAAAAAATACTCGCATGCGTCTAAGAAAAATGAATTTTTTTTTTTTGAACTGATGAAAACAAAAATTGGGAGAAATTCTAAAGCTACACCTTCATATGCTTCATTTAAAAGTTATAAATAAATTCAATGCCTTTTTATAAATTCCGGCATAGTGTGTTTCGAGCTTTATATTCGAGAAGAACAACTTAACAAGTTAAAATCTCCGGTATAACAAGATTAGAAACAGATTTAGTTTTAAAATCAGGGGGTAAACTTAAAAAGAGCTACAAATAACGTGAGATGTGGACAATGTTAGTTAAAGGCTGTAGAAGTATTCGTTTCGTGTATATCTCATCTTACTAGCTATGATACATGCAGGCCACTTGACATTCAGATCTCCATCCCCCTTTTAATTAATATATACTTACAATTAACAAGATCTTGGAAAATGCTTCTGTACATGAAGCTTATAATACTATTAGCTTCCAACCAATTAAAACAATGCATGGTGAGTAATATATGTTAAATACTATGCTGTAAAAAAAAATTGGTTATTTATGTGAATACAAAGCAAATGTTTAAATGAGATCATTAGCTACAAGCCAGATAGTCCAAATATGAATTAGTGTATTGATTAGCCTTCTCAAAACTAAGTTTTCATTCCATTAATTAGAAGCAGTTGGTGCAATTTCTTCGACCTAATTAATGTATTGACTCTGTTGACATTTACGTCATTACGTGCTTTAATTTTTTTTTATAACACTGAGACGTAAAAATATTCGAGACAATACAAAATGATAGAGAATCATAAGAGAAAAAGAAGATATCAGTAGACATCAAAATAAAAAGGAGAAAGAACTTCACCCAACCGTTAAATGCTGGGCTTCCAGAGCGAGCAGATGGTGTAGCCATACGGGAGCATTGCTGGCGATGTAAGAGTGGTGGC